AGTTCTTTTAAAGCCAGAATACAAGTAGTACTGAAGGCTGTGATCATCCAGTGTTAGTCGAGAGAGGAACAAAATGTCTTCACGTCTCCATTCTGTGCTCATTCAGGATCTTCTGTGGTTCCCATGGGTATCTCTGTGGGAGAAGAGGGGCTCTGGCTAACAGCAAAGCTCTGGAGCTGTAGGGCCAGGACTTTGAGCTTTTTGTGCAGGGGCTGGCTGGGCCCCTCGCTTAGATCTGCTAGATCCCTGCCTTTACACGCACATTTTTTCCCCAGGCATTTCTCTGGTAGGAGGCACAGCCTGCAGGGTGACAAAGGAGATGGAGTTGAGCGCTAAGCTCTTAGCTGGCAAGAAGCCATCCCGATCTTGGCATGTGCGAGGGGCAATGGGATGGAAAAGTTGGGGAGGAAAAGCAGGTGTCGTGTTGTAGCACTGCAGTTCTTTCTGTGCCCACGAGGTGGGGGAAGCTGCTCGCGGGATGGGCGGTCACAGGGTGGGGGCTTGCCTGTCCCCTCCAGGCCTGCGTGGCTTCTTCCTGTCACCGCTGCTGAGAGGGAATATGGAAGGGGGTTGGCTTGGGCAAGTCCTGGGGTGCAGGTGGAAGGATGAGCTATACAAGCAACAGTGCTCTGATGAGATGTGGTGTAAGAATAGACTCTGGGTTTCCATGCCCACAGGTCATACAGCACCAGCTTATCAATGAAACTGTTGTTCCTGCTGCCAGGAAATGTTCCTGTCTCTGCTGGATGAAACAGGGCAGTTTTTGGCACCAGAAGAGTTTAAAAATATTGTTCCCCTGGCCTGACTCTTGAGGAGGGCTGGCACAGAACAGTTGAACAGGTGCTATTCCTGCTCTGGTCCACTGCTAGGTTTCAAACAAGTGTGGTGCTCAAAAGGACAAGCCAGTCTCTTCTTTGGAGGTGTAGTTAAATTTTACTTGAATTCCAGCTGGCCTCATCTCTGGCTTTGAACACTGGACTTTGCTCCCACCGCACAGTAAGAATGAATGACTTCCATGTGATCCTAGTTAAAAATCAGACCTCTAAATTTCTTGTGTTTAATGAAGACATCTCCATCAGACCATTCTCACCAGCCTCCCATCTGTGTTCCTCAAGACCCCCTTCTACCACCCTTTTTAGAGGCAATTCTCATCAGGCATTACTCTGCCTCTTCCCTCTTATCTCACGTTCCATTTGTAGAGAACCTGGTACAATCCCTTTGCAAGTTTGGGTGCTGTCTCAGCACTGGCAGCCCCAAGTGCCTAGGATGATGCTGGCTTCTTTGGCTGGCAGTGGAGGGTTGTGCACTTTGACTGATGACGACCAAGGGGGGCTTTGGAGACCCTTAACTCTAACCCTGACACCTGCCTGGGAAGTCGCAGTTTCTCCCTGGGGAAAGCATGTGTCAACAGGGGTACAGCCTAGGGAGACATCAGCTGCCCAAAAATGACACAGACAGTGCCCTGTGTCTGTCTGGGGACTGTGCTGGAGCTATCAATAGTTTGTAGGTGTGTACCTGTGCTTGTCATTGATGTTGGGTATAAATGTGTCACGGCGCTGCCGGCGAGTGCTTGGTGAGTGAGCAGTGCCCCATTGGAGCTCTGGCTGCAGCTAGGCTGCCTCTCTGACCCTGTTTGTTTTCTTTCTCCCCACCACCGCAGGCTCGGGCCCAAGCGGAGGCCCTCCACATTGGGGATGTACACTTTTCTGTCAAGCCTGGTTCCAGTACCTCCTCTCCCAAGCTCCACTCCAGCGCCGCGGTGCACCGGCTCAAGAAGGACATCCGGCGATGCCACCGCATGTCCCGGCGCCCCCTGCCCCGCCCGGATCCCCAGAACGGCGGCAGCGTGGCTGGCGGGGCCGGCATTCGCCCTCCTGTCTCGCCCTTCTCGGAGACCGTGCGCATCATCAACCGTAAGGTGAAACCCCGCGAGCCCAAGCGCAGCCGCATCATCCTCAACCTCAAGGTCATTGACAAAGGTGGGAAGCCAGCCAATGGGGCCGGGGGCCTGGCCCGGCCCAAGATCCCATCCCGAAACCGGGTCATTGGCAAGAGCAAAAAGTTCAGCGAGAGCGTCCTGCGCACTCAGATCCGCCACATGAAGTTTGGCACCTTTTCGCTCTACAATAAGCCGTCTGCTGCACCTGCCCCCTCTCTGGAGGGCAAGGGAGAGGCCGAAGGCTCCCAGGCAGCCTCCTGTGGGCTCATTATGGGCTCCACCCCCTATGATGCCCCCAGCTCCAGCTCCTCTGGCTGCCCTTCACCTGCTCCCCACTCCTCCTCCGACCCAGATGATTCCCCTCCTAAGCTGCTCCCCGAGACCCTCAGCCCAGCCATCCCCGACTGGCGTGAGTCAGAGGTCCTCGACCTCTCGATCCCCCCTGAGTCGGCCGCCACCAGCAAGCGTTCTCCCTCGGGGGGGTGCAGTGGGGGGCAGACTCCCTCCTTGTCCCTCTCCTCTTCTGACCCGGAGCAGGAGGCTGGTGACTGGCGTCCTGAGATGTCCCCTTGCTCTAACGTGGTGGTCACAGATGTCACCAGCAACCTCCTCACTGTAACCATCAAGGAGTTCTGCAATGCAGAGGATTTTGAGAAGGTGGCGGCGGGCAGTGGTGGAGGAGGCAGCAAGTGAGCAACCGGGTCCCCCCACTCCAGGGGTGTGGGGGGAGCTCTGCCTGAGAGAAGTTGTGGTGCGAATGGCTGTCCTTAGTTCTCTCCTTCTCCCCTTGGCTGTCCCTCTACCCTCACTGCCACCCTTCCTCCTCCTCTCCTCCTGCCCAATTCCTCTTGCCTGGAGGCTGGAGTGTGTCAGTGGGGGTGTGGGAGCACCCACTGTTCCTGGGTGTTGGTACTGCTAGGAGGAGGCAGGGAGGGTTATGGTGGGGCTGGGGAGTGGTTGTTTGTCCTTGAATGTGGTGTTGTCCAACGGGCGGTGGAGCCTTTGGGGCTGAGGGATGAGTGAGCATGTGTCTGTGTGCCTGTGCAGGTGGTGAGGAGGGTGCTGCTCTTCCTCATTCCCCTTCTGTCTTTGACAAAAACTGAAGAGGAGCTCCAAACCCGTGAGGGGAGGATGTAAGAGGATTGGAGCCCTTGCCCATGTCCTCCAGACCTTCTCCCACAACATGCATGCAGACTCTTCCATTCTTGTTTCCCCCTTGCCATGACTACCATCCTGCCATCCTTCCCCTCTTGGCCTGCAGCCTGGATCTGCCCTCTTCTCTACTGTCCTTGTGGCAGTTGCTGATCCAGATGCCCTCAGAGTGAGGGGGAGAAGGACAGGTTAAATGTCATGCCTGGAAGGTGCTTGAGACAAAGCTGGGGTGCTGGGGGTTGCCCCATGCAGCCTATGCCTCATATTGGCTTCCCCTTTCCTTTGACTATTGGTGCTACCTTGGCAGTTGTATGGGTGCTTTCAGGTGCCCTGATCCCTCCTCTTCTCCCTCATCTTCATACCTGTTCAGCTCCTCAGGAGAAAGGGAAGAAAAGAGGAGTCTGCCTCCAGCCCATATCTTCCTCCTGATGTCCATCAGTTGCACTTGTTTGTGGAGAGGGACACGAAATGCCTTTCTCTGGCCTTTCTGTGGCGGAAGCAGGAGTGGGCTGTGCCTCCATCCCTCGGTCTGTGGGAGGATGATGGCAGCAGTGTGACGCTGCCCAGCTGCGTGAGGCTGCTCTCCCGCCTCCTGTGAGTTTCCCCCAGCCCTCTCTGCTTCCTCTTGTTCCTTCCAAAGGAAGGAGGGGTGGATGCTAAGGCAGGTTGGTTGTTCTTCCTGCTTGTTTTTGCCCCTCCTGCTCGGTTGTGTCCCTCCTGCTCTCCCCTCCCTCTGGTGGGTGGCCTGGAAGAGGTTTCCCCTCTGTCTTTTCAGCATCTGAAACAGCCCTTACAACTGTCAGCCAAAGGTGCTCATAGGAAATACCTGCGCATGCATGTGCGCTGGATCTCTTCCCCTAAAGCTGATCTAGAAATTCCTTCTCTTCACCCCTAGCAAGTAGGAGGGAGCAAGACCACAGCTTGCTGTTTATTCCACGGCTCCCTCTTTCCCTGACCAGCTTTGTTCACATCCAAGATAAGCTCTATTTTTTGCCTGCCATTTCTGGCTTGCTCTGTTTCTGTGTGGGTCCTAAGCTTCATGGTGAGAATCCGTTCCTTTGCTCTCCTTTCTTCCTCTACTTGCACAGGACTGAGCTCGTAGAGGCAAGGAAAAGAGATGCTGATGAACTGGTAGGAGAGCCTCACCCTCTGAGCCCTGTCCCTGGATGGGGCAGAGGGGTGTCACTTCTACATAACATGCTGCAGAGGTGAAAAGGGTGGAAAAAATTCCTCATGCCAGGGCTCATTTGCTTATAAGCCTGCCTGGGCGGGTGAACACAAGTGGAATTGGCCCCTCTGGTGCTTTCACACAAGGATGTTCAGGAGCTGCTGGCTCTGAGGAGTGCTCTCCTGCAGTAGTGATTTTGTGGTTGTAGTGATCTGAGGATAGAAGGGAGGCAGTTTGTGGGAGGGAAGTAATATTTGTCTGCCCAAGGGACGTTGTCAGGGTGGTAGAGGGATAGACCAGCTTCTGACCTTAATTAGGGCTTTTGTGCCCAGAGTGTGTCTATTCCCTGCCTTCAGCGCCTGGGTTGGTGTAATAAAATCTTTACTGCCCTCCCCACAAACCTTGCCTTGCAGTGGGTGGCATTCCAAGCCATCCAAGCCGTGGGAAACGGTGAATTCACACCAGTTGTGGTTGGGTGTCTGCGCAGACAGTCTGAGGGGGATTCCAGGTGCTGTTAGCACCACCCTTGGTACACCTCTTTCTTTTTCTTTCCTTGGTTAAAGAGCTTAGTGGACTCTTCGGGGATGTGCTTTCATTCACAGCTGAAGCTAGGGGCAGGGAGAAAGAGACTTCCCTGATCATCCATTCACCAAGCTAAGGCTTTCTATAACTTGTTGGACTTGTGTGCGTGTCTGTGTTAATACCTGCTTGTATTTTTTGTGGATGTTGGTTTTTTTTTTGTTTTTTTTTTTTTTGTTTGGGTTTTCTTTTGCGCATCTTTCCTGTGCCTGGCACACCCAGGGATCCCTTATGTTAGCATAGCCTATCCATTTGACTGCAGCTTCAAAGATGAGCAGTTTGTAGGCATAGGGAAAAGCTCTTTCTTAGGAAAATAGCAAGGAGATTCTTCTCTTTTTCCTCCCCCTTCTGAATAAGAACTAATCTGTGGCTATGAGATAAGAGGAGCTGCTTTATGGGGTGGATGCAAACTGGCCAGTCACTTTAGGTTGTTAAGTTACTGTTTGGTGTGTATGTGGTGCTGTGTTTTGTTTTGTGGTATCAAGGTTCTGAAAAAAGTGTTGAAGCGTTTAAGTGGGAGATAAAAGGGAACTTTAATAGGAAACTCTTGATGTGTTTTGGCCAAGGTGTGTTGCTTGGCAGAATTCTTTTCCCCAGTGTCTCTTGTATGGTGTTCTTTGGGGGCAAGGGGCAGGAATTGTTTAATTGAAGGGGTTTTGCCTTTCTCCAGAGTGGCAAGCAAGGGAACTGTCTGTGAAGAGTAAAACAGTGGGTCATTGTAGGGATGCTCCGCAAGGGCCTCCTTCCTGCGGTGAGGAGATGAGGGGACTTGTTGCAGCAGAGAAACTCGTGTGGTAGATCCTCGTTGTGGAGGAAGAAAGGAGTATGATCCGGCTTGCAGACACAGCTCACCTGCTTGTGTGACAAATCCCTGCCTGGGTGGGTCACCAGGTGGGAACCAAACCCTGAACCTCTGGATCCAAAATGAGGATCCCGTGCTGGTTTGAGTTAGAGATTTGCTAACTTGAATGCAGCAGTAGCCTCGAGTTCCCTCAGGTGGACAAGACACTTGAGGCTAGCTAACCTACCTTCGTATTCACGTGGGCTGTGCTCCTCCTTCTGAATTTTTGCCTTTGCTCCTTAATGGAGATAGGAAAGAAGATTCATCCGTGCCTTTTAAAATGGGCATGGAATTGAGGGAGGAGTTTATTTGAAAGTATCCCCTTCCTTTCCCCGTAACCCATAGGAAAAAAAATCAACAAAAACAGGGAAATATTCTCTGTGTCTGTGCCATGTTTGTTCTCGTTGTCGTGTTTTTAGGGGAGATTTTATGATGGAGTGGAAAAAGTGAAATGATTAGTTTTGCATAAAAAAAGAAAAGTTTTAAAAAAATTTCTACAGGGAGAGAGCGAGAGAGAGTTTAAAAATGAATAATAAATGCAGTGATTGCACAAACTGTAGTGGTATTAGATGGTCCTTAGAGAAAAGAGTATTTTGTAGTATCGAAGCATGTGTGTCTGGGATGGTGTTTGGCTTGCTTGAACTGGAGGGAAAGGCATTCTGGACTAAGCAGCGATCTCTGAGCTGAAAGGCAAGTTGCATGTTGGAGGAACCCTGTCTACAAACCTTTCCCATCCTTGCCTCCCAAGTGTTGGAGTGAGTTCCCTTCCCTCCCATACCTCTCCTGTGAGCTAAGGTGGAGTCTCCAAGTGGTTTTCTGGCTGAGCAGCCCTCAGAGATGGCCGGTCACGTTCTGGCAGAACGTGGATCAGGCCATCGACGTGGAAACAGTTGACTTACTTTGCATGCACAGCAAGCCGCTAACGTTTTGGGTTGGCATGTACCTTTCCTGCCAAGTTGCTGTCTCTTTTCGGTCCCCTAATTCCAAACAGAATTAATCATGGTGGGCTTATTTCCTGGGAAGCAGATATGCCTCTCCTCTGTAGGGTTTCTTAAACTCATTCGAATACCAGGTGAGGGGTGACATTTTTCTGTATAGAATTCACCACATTAGGACAGAAAACTGAATCCCATTGTTGTGTATTCCAGCATCCCTTCCCTGACAGTGGCCAGATCTCTAGAGGCAGATGAGAGCGCTGCCTTGTTTGCTCTGATTGTGTTGCTGAGGGACGTGCACCCTCTTCTCGAGGCCAGCAAATGCTGGAAGTTTTTAGGGTGGAGAAGGGGAGAGGAACACTCTGACAGGACTGCTCAAGTAGGGCAGCCTTCTTCTCCAGCTTCCTTTGGGGTGGTGGGGAAGAGTTGCCTGAATGTTCCTTCAGAGCGATGCTGGAAGCTCTGGCTTCCCTGTCCAAGATGTCTCTGGTGTTCATCTGGCACGTGGGAGTGACTGCAGGGAAGAGGGAAACCACCAGATGTTGGTGTCTGAACAGAAGATGGTAGGCAGGGACACTTGAACGACTTTTCTTGTCTGCACTTCTCTGGTGCCCTTTGCAGTGGCAGATGACTGATGCTTCCCATAGCCTGGGCTGCCCTTGGGAACTTCTCTGTCTGCCCATCAAAGTGTCGGTGCTTCCCTTGGCTTTCAACTTGGAACAGAAACCTCCTGTCTCAGGCTCTCCTCTCAATGAGCAGCATGGGACTGGAGGGGCATGAAGCTAATGAGATACAAGCTCCTTTGGGGATGAAAAACAGAATTAGTGTGGTGAGCAGGCCCAGCTGTGGTGAGCCACTGCTTAAATTCTGTTTTCAAAAGAGAATGGGAGCATTTCTCTGTGTCTCCCCTTACTGAAGTTCCCAGGGAAATTTTGTGAAATAAACAAATAAAGAAAAAAAAATCAAACCCACAATAATGCTTTTTACCAGGTAGGAGCTGTCTCAATGCTGAGTCTTCCTAGGGATATCACTCCCTTCTCCAGCCCCTCTTTGTAGAGGAGGCTTCAGCAGCTCCCAGCGTTTGGAGATGACCACCTCCCTGGGGACTTCCTGGCAGAAAGAGGTTGCCATGCTTGAAGGATGGTGTCCTGAGTCCCCATACTGCTGCCCACCCCAGGCCATGGCATGAGTGGGGCTGCTCAGGAGCAGGTCCTTCTTCCCAGGGAGCTGTAACAAACCTGGAGTGTGTGTTTGGCTAAGTGCTTATTTTCCCTTTTGCTTCCTTCCCCACCTTCTGACAAGACTTTTTCCTCCTTGCCTGGCACATCCTTTTACTCCAATGTCGCTTGCTTTTGCTGCATTTTTCAATTGCCCAATAATCACGCAAGAGCTGGGATCTTATTTACTTCTTATATATAAATATATGACTATAAAAAGCCTCCTTCCCCCTTTGTCCCCATCTCACCCACCGCCCCATGCGCAGCCTCCCTGATCTCCGCTCCCAAGGTGATCTGTAGAGGGTTCATTTGGGGTTGGGGATTTGGTGCCTCCTAGTTCTGTTCCTTCTTGGCTTGCCAGCTGTGTCACTGCCCTGTGCCTCTGTCTTCCTCATGCAAAGGGGGTGGGGATGGAGGAGACCATCCTGCTGAGGGTGCTGGCAGCCCAACTCTCGAGGTGTTTGCACAGAGATGGAGTGCTCAGTGCTGCTTCAGAAATCCCCTGCTCCCTGTCTGTGCTTCCTTCCCCAGGTAATTCCAGGAAGTATCTTCATTTCACCAGTGCTCTGAGGTTGAGAAAATAAGTGTCTTTATTTTCTTCTATTTTTGAGATCCTTCCCCAGAGTGCAATGTGTATCGTTTCTTTTTGGGGGTTGTAGATGGCAGGAGATGTTGGAGTCTGTCTCCATCCTCACCTTTGCCTTTCCACCTCTGCTCCTCTCACATTTTGCCATTGCCCTGTGTCAGATGGATGTGGTCGAAGGTATTTGCACCCTTTTCTGAGCAGGGTCAGTCTTGGCACCGGGAGCTTCTCCTGTGTTCTGTGTGGTGATTCTGAGGTGCCCTGTGTCCCACCTGCCTCGCCTGTAAGGATGCAGCAGGGCCCTGAGTTCTTCTTTCTTCCCTTCTGTAAATTTCTCCCTCCAGAAGTGAAGGGAGATAGTCCTGTGGTGGTTGGCTGCCTCTGGCAGCTCTTCTGTCCATTGCAGCTCCTGTGTGGTGGGAAACAATGACTCCAGGGCCATCCAAAAGCACAGTCCTTGGGGTAGGGTCCTTCCACTCCAGCTGAGCTCTGTGCTCTGAGCCCACGCCCTGCAGGCACTGGCAGGTGGCCCTGGGGTGGAGGAGCAGGGTGCCCTCTGTGCCCTGGGCTGGGTGCAGCTGGGAAGTGGGCAGCCAGCAGCATGCTGGGCACAGGGAAAAGTCAGGTGAGAGAGCTCTAGAGAGGTGCCAGCTTCTGCAATGGTTCAGCAAATGGGTCTGCTGGGGGGAGAGGAGCATGGTGGGACATGCAGGCAGTGTTCATTCCCATTGCAGGGCCCTGGTTCTTTACTTCATTCCTTGTTCAGCTGAGCACTTGGAGCTCCCATCAAACCTCCAGCACACGGCTGGGTGGGTCAAAGCACTTCGTGGGGCTTCAGGGCCTCGTGGGACTGATGGGGCTTTCCCGTGCTCCCACGTGCCCCCAGCTGGCCCCTGCTCTCTGGGGGTACTGAGGGTTTTCCTCTGGCAGAGCAGCAGGTCGGTGCTCTTGCACAGGTAGGTGCCCTGGAGGGAGCCTGCTGCTTCCAGCCCCCAGCTGCAAGGCGGGGGCAGAATCTTAGGTCAAGTTCTCAAATGGAACAAAAAAATTAATCGTTGTGATGACTTTTTTTAGAAAAGAGTTGTCATGCCTGCACCTCCTCCAAGCAAATCAACTCAGTGTGTGCTGTCCTCTTTCCTCTTCTCCCCTGTGCCATTAAGCCTTGTACACTCCCTAAGAATAGAGGAGACTCTCTGCTTTGGGATTTTTTCCCCTGTTTGTTTTCTTTTTGCATAGAAAGTTGTCTGCTGGTGGTGGAGGACAGGGGCCTGCTTCATCTGTTCCTTCCTTTCACCTTCCCCTGTGCCAAGCTTAGGCTCAAATGCTGCAGATTCCTGCAAACACTGAACTTGGAGCAGGCGAGTGACCCCACTGCATTCTGTGGTACTTGGGTGCTTCAGATTCTGCCTGTGCTTGAGCTTTGGCAGCATCAGAGCCCTTCCTTCCTCTTGGAGAAGGTCAGCCCTAACTCCAAGTGCTCATAGTTCTGGTGCAACCCATCTGTCCCTTCATTTCCCCTCACTTGGCATACAGAGTGAAGGTGGTAATTTTTTTTTAATTTAAAATAAACCTAAATATGTATCTTGTAATTTTTTTTATTTTGAAAAAAAAGCATTTAAGGATTGTGCACGGATGAATTGTATATCTATATATTATTTTTTTGTCTTGCAATTTTCATTTTAAATATAGTGTTTGTTCAGTTTTGTTTTGTTTTTTAATCCAGTTCCCAGCTGGCTAAACTCTGTCTAGAGTGGATGGGTGGGAGGCAGAGCCACTGGAAGGGTGATTGAATCACTCCTTCCCTTGGTGCTTCCTACAAGAAACTGGTTTGCTCCAGGTTTGGGGGTGGGGGTTGTGCTAATTACTCTTGTATTCTTGTACATTTTGTTCTTTCTGCTGCTCTTGAATATTGTATCAATGCCAGAAATGGGGAGTTAAAAATTAAAACAAAAAATTAACCCCAATAAATTGTTACATTCCAAAAGCTGTTGTTGTTTTCCTTGGGTGGGCTCTGCCTTGTGGAGCTGGGAGCAGGGCTTTGGAAATGGCTCCCCTGAGCCAGCACAGATCAGCTCTGCAGTCAAGCACAAGCACCTGCACCCTGCTTGGGCACCATGGATCAGCCCTGCTTTGGGCTTTGGACCTGTCTGGACACAAAGAAGCTCTGAAAACAAACAAAGGAGTATTCTGGAATGTTAAGGGAAGAGGGAACATTTGGGAAGGCCAAGCTGTAGCAAGTGGAACCTGAACACTCTCTTCCCAAGTGCTTTGGAGTCTCCCATGGGTCTCCCATATCCTTTTCTTTCAATAATGAATTTAGATCAGGGTACAACCTAGCACTTGGTGGCTGAAAAATGCTTTAGGCTTTTCCCAACTCCAGAACACGTGCTTAAGTGCACTTTCTCGCAAGCTGATCTAAGAAATATGGTGAAAAAATCTCCCTGTGTGTAATTGAAGCCCCAGATTCACTCCATCACTCTCCAGCCTGGAGCAGCTGCATAAAAAGGCTCAGCTGAATTCAGTGGGAAGTGCTGGTGGTGGGAGATGTGGTGGGGCAAGCCAGTTGCTTTTGGACAGAGAGGTCCTGCAGGAAGGCAGCACTTCTGGATACTGGGAAAGGGCAGTGTCTGGGCACAGCTCCAACCAAAACACCCTCAGGGCTGCCCTTGAGGAGCGTGAGCTGCAGTCTCACCCCGGGGGAGATTGGGCTGAGCTGGGCGTTCCTTGGACAGAGTTGCTGCCTTGAGGTACTTCTGCAGTGTGTGAGCTTTGGGAAGCCACAGCAGGGCCTGCTCCAGTGGTGGCATGGCTGGCAGCAGGGAATGCTGCCCACCCAAGCCAAGCACAGTGCAGGTGTCATCCATGTCATGGCACCAGGCTCACCTTGCCTCTTCTGCAGAAAACACTCACAAAGCCAGCCCTCCCTCCTCCCTTGCCCCCTGGCTCTGCCCAGAACCTGGTGGGCTTTTGGCTGGATTTGAGGGCGCCAAATGAAGCCAACTGTCACCCAATGCTTTCTGGACCAGGAGGAAGGCTGTAGAGACAGACCCCAGCCAGGCTGAACAAATCCAATGAGGTCCTGCAGCAGTGCCCTCGTGCAGGCAGACCCAGTAACCGGGGCAAGGTGATGCAAGTCACATCTGCAGGGCTGAGAAACCTGGAAATAAAGAAGCCAGGATTTCCGTGCTGTGTAGATCTGGGAACCTGCCGATCCCCAGCGTTTGAAGGCTCCTGATCTAAGGAGATGGTGGAGCTGAGTCCATGGAGTGAGTGCAGAGGAGCCCTTTGATCTCCTTAGGGTGGCCCTGGGGATGTTCCTGTACTGGGTGATGACCTGGGAGGAGGGAATCCCCCAGCTCAGAGGCATCAGCTTACACTCCCTGGAGAAAAGGTTTCCTCCCTTCCCTCACCCCACCACCCTGCTGGCCTCAGCATCATGAATGGGCCAGGGTTTCATGCTGGCCAGGATGGAGCCGCCTGGTTCCTGTGGGGAGGGTTGGGTGCAGGGCAGCCTTGGAACAGCAGATGTCCTTCCCCTTAAGCCAGCAGTCCATTCCAAACGTCCCTCTCACCCAGGGGGCACAGCAGGGTGACCCCTTGTCCTGCCTTGACCCTGTCTGCAGCTGCCCCTTGGGGACAGCTGCTAGTCCCAGACACCATTTTGGTGTTAATTAAATGGAAGAAAATCCCTTAATTGCTCTCTCCCAGTCCCTCTGGGCTGAATCCATGAGCTCCTGTTAAATCCAGCTTCTGTCACCAATCCTGCTCAAACTAGGAACCAAAAAAGCCCCACATTGCCTTCCCCACCCTGTCATGCACCGTCCTTGCAAGGGCCGGCTGCCCACCGAGCATCTCTGAATTGTTATTCATGGGACAGGGAGGCTGCTCTGGCCACTCACCGGTCTGAGTCATCACTCCCTGTGAAAATCTATTTTTGTCACCTCTTTGTCTCTGGGAAGAAGTTGTGGTGCCTGCTGAGGGACAGGTCTGGACCGTGGGAGAGCTGAGCCCTGCCCTGCTGCGATACCCAACTCTTCCCCATGCCAGCCTGCGTGAGTGGGGCCAGGCTGGTGCAGAAGGGCTCACCCTTCCCCTCACTGCCAGGGCAGCATCAGCCAGAGGTACAAACATTGCCACCATGCTCCTGCAACCTTTGCTAATAAAATCTGCACAGTGCAAAGCATCACTTCCCCTGGCAAGAAGCTATGTAGAAGCCTATGGCACTTTTCCCCGCAGGGTGGCAGATAAAGGATACCCCTCCCACTCTGATCTGTACACTGTGGGGTGGGCTGGCCTGGTGCAGCTCTCACACTGCCCCTGCACTGTGGGCTGGCCTGGTGCCGCTCTCACACTGCCCCTGCACTGTGGGTGGGATGGCCTGGTGCAGCTCTCAGATGGGTTCCTTTCAGTCCCACTCCTGCCTGGGTGCTGCCAGGGTGGGAGTGCAGCGGGCACGGGGTGACACAGCAGGGTGCAAAGCTCTGCCACTGTTAGCAAGGGACAGGTTGGAGGCTGGGGGCCTCCCCTCATGTCATGGGGTGCAGGCTTCTGTTTCCTTTACATCCTGCACCAGTGCCCACTTGTCCCATCACACCGAGCACTCACCGTCCCACAGCACTCACCGGCCTCATCACCAGGGCCAGACTCTGTTGCTTGGGCTTCCTTCACATCCCCCTGTCCAGACTACTCCATGTCCAGCTCCACTTTTCCTCCTCAGCATTCCCTTCATCTCTACTCTTCCTTGAACCTCCCCATCTGTCTTCCTCTCCTCCTCCCCACAGCCTTGCAGCACCACAAGTCAGGCAGGTCTCTTGTTGGCTCCGGGGTGATGGTTTTGGTTTTGGGGGGCTGGGGTACAATGCTCTCTGTAGGGAGAGAGGGTGACTGTATGCTGTCAACAGCCAAATTTGAGGAGTCTTTTGTAGCTCTGGCTCCCTTGCTATCCCCTCAAATATGCCGGGGGGGAAAGAAGAGGTAATCTTTATCATTGTTTCATACCCAGCACTGGAGCTGTTGTAAACACACATGCTCCTGCTTACCTGCCTGCTAGGAAGGATTTCCTGCCATTACTGAGTAGACCTTGAAATTGATTTTGTTTGTTTTCCCTCTTCTGCTCCTCTTTTCTGGGCAGGGCTGCGTCGCCAAGGCCCCAGTGTGCCTGGGAACAGGAGAGGGCACGGCACAGCCTCTGTTGGAGCAAGGAGAAAGTGGCTGTCTGGAGCAGCTCGTTCGTGAACAGCGCAGACTAGAGTGATGGTGGGGGAAGATTAAACGTGTGTCTTTGTTTCCCAAATCGATAACAGGCGTTTGTGGGGCAGAGGGTGAGGCAGCCCACGGCAGCTCTCTGCAACAGTCCTGTCTGAGGTGGGAGAGCAAGACAGCTAGGAAGTTTGTAGCTTAATTTTTAGGGGAAAGGAGGAAAAGACCCGAAAGACAGGGAATTCGTGATTACGAGGCTCTCACACTCGGGGTATCAAGCGGCTCTTCACTGCCAGCCTAGGCATCTCGCAGGGCAAAAGTCATCCCTTGGGCTGCGCCGCAGCAGCATCCTCTCGCCAGAGGCTCCCGCCGGGCTGACTCCAGCGAGCCCGAGGCAGGGCTGGCCCCGTCCCCGGGTGCCCCCGGGGCGCCCTCCCTGCCCTTCCCGTTCGCTCAGACGCTCGGACCGCCGCCCGTGCAGCCCGGGGAGGGTGCTCAGCGGGAAGGGGGGGTCACTGAGAGGGGCACGGCCGGGGGCACGGCCGGGGCCGGGCCGGGGGCGGCGGCGGGGGCGGCGCGGTGCGGTGCGGGCGGCGCCGCCCGGCACATATAAGCGCGGCGCGGCGCGGCGCGGCCCCGGCGCCGGTGCTGCTGCCGGTACCGTCCTTCCCCGCCAGCTCCCTCCGGGCTGCCCGTGCATCCCTCCGGCCGTCCGTCCCCCTCTCCATCCCCGCCCGCTTTGTTTTCTCGCCGTCCGCGGGCTCGGGCCCCCCACGCCGCTGCCACCCTGAAGTTTCTGGCGGTGCTGCTGGCGGCGGGCATGCTGGCTTTCCTCGGGGCCATCATCTGCATCATCGCCAGCGTCCACCCAGCCGGCACCGCCGCGCCCGCCGCCGCCGCCGACAATGACTCGGCCGCCGCCGCCCTGCTGCCCGCCGCCGACAAGGGGCTGGGAGCGCTGCACGGCCCCGCCGAGGCGCTGGCCAGCGCCGGGCCGCGCCTGCCGGGGGGGCCGCCGCTCTTCAGCCGCTTCGTCTGCACCCCGCTGAGCACCGAGTGCCCGGCCGCCGGCACCGGCACCGCCGCCGGCAGCGCCGCCGGCCCCGAGGAGCTGCTGGCGCTGCGGAGCGCGGCGGCCCAGCTGCGCCGCACGGCGCTGGAGCAGAAGGAGCGGATCCGCATGGACCAGGAGACCATCCGGGAGCTCACCGGCAAGCTCAGCCGCTGCGAGGGCGGCCTGCGGAGCCCCCCCGGCCCCGCGCCCCCCGCCGCCGCCGGGCTCCGCGCCGCCCCGCGCCCCGGCACCATGGGCCACCCTCCCGACGAGCCGCCCGCCGTGCGGGAGCTGGAGGAGGCTGTCCGCACCCTCCAGGACCGAATCGACCGGATAGAGGTGCGAGGGATGCTCCTGGGGACTGGGCGGGATGCTCCCAGGGGATGCTGCTCCTGGGGGGCTGGGGGGATGCTCCCACACGTGCCGTTCCCCAGGCCTGCGGCCACATGCGCCCCGAACTAGCTCGTTCCCCTCATGAGACTTCAGGAAGGTTGTCCCTGCCTCCCTCTTTCCTGAGATCTCTGCCCAGGGGCAAGGCACTCACCTTGAGCCCTCCTCTCTCCTTTCCACGCAGGGTAGTCCCAAAGCGCCAGGGCTGCCCCAGTTACCCCGCAGTCTGCACCCAGGTAGGACACCTTGCGTGCCCCATGGCACCTGTTAAGGACTCCTCCAGAGCAGGTTGGCAGCTCTGGCAGCCAGACCCTGCCCTTTAGCAAAAAGGTAAATCCCATCTGATGGCATCATGGTTATGAATGGGACGTCTCACAAAGTAAAGTGCAGTGCCCCCCACCGTGAGCCTGGCACCCTTTCCCACATGGTCCTTAGGAGCTGGAGAGAGAAGGGCACAGCTGGAGCCCTTCACGGTGCCCATTCCTGTGGCATTGGGCTGTTGGCACTTGGGATCAGAGCCCTGGTCCCCATTCTGTAGCAGCTGTGCAGTGTGTGCCCGGCAGGCTCAGCCCTAGCCCAGCCACAATCCAGCAGCACCAGAGGCTCTGCCACGATGCCTGGCATGGGGCACATCACGGAGTGCATGTGAGTGTTGATTTATTTGGGCTGATTTGGACTCAGCAGTCCCACGGAACTTGGCAGACTTTGCAGGATATGGCTGTGGCACGTGAGAGCTGCAAGAGGAGAGTTGTCTGTTTTCCCTGTGGGAATTGCTCCAGGTAGGAGCAATTCCCTGAGGTCTGTCAGGCGTCAGAGCCACCTGCAAGTCCTCAACCTTCTCATCTTCCTGCTCAGTTTCCTGTTGCCCTCTCCACTCTTCCTTGGAGTGTGGAGCTAGGAGGGGAATCATGCAGCACCCTTTGGGGTCCCTCTCCTCAGACAACCACTTTCTCCTTGCCCCTCTGCCCCCCTCACTACAGACATGAGGGCACAGCAACAGGCAATGGAAATGGGAATAGGAAATTCAGAGCCACCAAGGTCACTGGCTGAGAAATGAGACTGGGAGAGAGGGTTATTGTAAGCAATGGAGATATGAACAGGAATAAAAAGACAGAGAAAGACAAATAAACAAACAAACACAAGAAGGAAAAGAGCTGGAAGACCAGAGGGGAAGCTGCCAGGGTAATGCACACACAGGCACAAGAAGAAACACGGAGGCATGCCAGGCACATGCAGGGACAGTGGGATGTGCAGCCTGTCTGACATGCTGGCCAGAGCTAAATGCAGCCAAAGGGAGCCCCCAGGAAACCCCTGCAGTCCTGCACAAATGATTTTCCATCAGTGGAATAACACAGCAGGTATGCTTACCCAATGATAAATTGGGGAAATAGGTCTCTGCACATGTATCCCAGACGATGCAGGTGGGATGGTGCCCAGCACATCAGTTTGGATCTTGGGGAGCATCAGGTCACAGAGCCATGCTCTCCCTCTTCTCTGTGGGGCAGCATCACCCACGAGCTGCCCTGGCCCCTCTCCCAGGGTTTCTGGGGTGGTGGGAGGTTTGGATGGAGGGGGAGGAGGGTGAAGCTCACCAGGGTTGGAGCAGGCTGTCACATGTGCCCAGGGAGCCTGAAGCGATGCTGGGACGGGGCTCAGGCACACAGTGACGAGGAAGCCAAGTGGCACAGGACAAAAACTGTTCAGGTTTGTGCTGCCATGGTCCCAGGTACACTCTGCAGGGGAGACACAGCACCCTGAGGCTCAGTGAGCCCTGCCAGGTGAGGAAATGGAGCAGCGTGTTACAGGTGGGCTGGTCTTTGTCCTGGTGAAAAGTGTCACCGGTGGGCACCACAGCCCTGTGAGGGCTGCAGCCCAGCCAGCTGAGCCTCGTGGCCACACCTCAGCCATCCAGGGACAGTTGCCTGTGGCGTCCCTCTCCAAATTGCCTCCCACCCCAGGAGCAGACAGCTAAAACTTCCTGGTGGAGCACCTGCATCTTGTGTCCCGCATGGCCTTGGCTGTCAGCCCTGGGAGCCTTCCTGGGGTACCCATGGCATGGGAGGCACTCTCAGCCTCCACAGCTGTCCTGGATCATGGCAGTGACCGTCCCAAAATGTGACCTGGATGGGGACAGTCTCGGGCTGGCCCCCATGTGCTGAAGACTGCAAAACCCATTGGGAAGGAGAGAAAGTGCTGCCAAGTGTGTGGTGGCTCAGTCTCAGAAGAGAGATGACACAAAATGCCACGAGCCGCTCTGGGAAGGCTGCGTCCCAGGGAGTCTCCAGGCAGGTTTGCCAGCAGGGATTACTGCTGGATGCTTCAGAGCTGGGACTGCAGGGAGGGGGCTGGTGGAAGATTGCTGATCTAATCTGGGCACTCTCAGCCCTGTCTGTAAGGCATAACAAGATTTATTCATGCACTGAAAAACCTATTAAGGCATTTGTTCCTTAATTTTGTCGGCATGGCAGAAGGATTTCCCAGGATGCAGGGAGGGCTCCCACAGTCTCGCTCTTTGTCCCCTGCCATTTCTGTGGGGCTGGGCTAGCATCAGCACAGCATCTTCCCTCACCTCTTCCTAACGCCACCCCAGCACTGATCATCCTTTCCTCATGCACAGCAGCCTAGTTAGGCTTTTTCATCCTGGTTTTGAGGGTCCCCCCCTTTGGCTCAGCACGTGCTCATGTCTGTGCACCCTGGTGCATCTTGGAACACAGAGCTGAGGGACCCAGGTGCTCCTTCTCCATGCTTTTACTTATTGCTGCAAATGGAAAGGGATCGGGGAGAGAATCACCTTGGCTGCCTGGGCTGTGCCCAGATGCAGATGCCCCCCTTCTCCCCATCATCCCTTGCAGGGGAGAGGGGATGGCCTGATGGGCTCCGTGGGGACCTGGTGGAATTGCAACAGCCTGTTTGCTCCTCAGCAGGTTCCTGGCTGTGCCATTGCAGCTGGGGGCCTGGCTGCTGGCTGGAAACCTTCGGGTAAGGGAATGGGAATATTAGTGACCAAGCTGTTTCAGTCTCCAGCAATGCAGGGATGTAAGCACCCAAATTGTGACAGTCCCAGCCCCTCTCCTCCGAGTGAGATTTTAGGGAGACAGGATCAACAGTGAGTCTTTCTCTTGTGAGGAAGAGGGAAAGGCTGATGCGTCCCTGTTTTTCTTCTACTCCATGCAGTTCCTTTTGGAGTTTAATGATCCCCAAGGTCCTGCCTGGGTCCAAAGAGGTGGCAGTGTCCAAAAGCCCTGGTGCAGCAGGTGTGCTGTCCTGCAGCAGGGAGTATCCCAAGGTAGCAGCTGCTGAGGAGTTTTGTGCAGCCTGTGAGGATTCAGGGGTCCAAGGAGCAGAATGGGTCTGCTCTGTGTGTGCATCCTGATCCCTGGATGTGCCAGAGTTCCACCCAACAGGCATCCCCCTGTGCTCCTGCCTGCCCTGTCCCAGCAGCCAAGGTGGGCACTGGTGTGCTGGGGGCCCAGGGGGAGCAGCAGCGCCCAGATTTGCCGCTGCATTAGTAAATGAGGCTCTGATCTCCTTATGTAAATCAAAGTGCATTTGCTGACGGAGGGCTGCGGCCCCAGAGAGCACACGCCGGCGTGGCTGCCGCAGCCCCCTGCCCCCACCTCCCCCTCCCCACCCTGCCAGCCGCTGACATTTAGCGTGATTAATGTTACCTGGCATCTTTCAATCTTTTTTGCCGGTTCTGGTGGCCAAAAAGCGTGGAAGGAGCCTCCCCCACAGGCACTGCCCACTCCCCTGCTGCCGGTGCGGCGGCAGATGGGAAGCCGGGTGCCTGCCGAACAGCCAGGGAGAAGGAGCTTCCCCCCCTTCCCCTCCCCAAAGGTCACCAGTAAATAACAGCTGCACATCAACCGTTAATAATTTCGCAAATAATTTGCCTTGTGAGAAAGATGCTCGAGCAGCAGCTCGGAGATGAGGATCACGGCTCAGGGATGCAGCCCAGCCTGGCATCAGGGGGATCACCCAGCACAACTCAGCTGCACGGAGCAGAATGGGGAGTCCAGGCTCCTGTCCAGCCATCATCTGTCTGCAGGGATATGGATGGTGTTTGCTGGGATGGCCCTGAAAC